GCATAGAACAATGAAACCATAAATAGTACATTAGGCACAGGAAAGAACTTAACGGTAAGTGGGGAAAGTTGCGACTGATTTACAAGTAACTACACTAAAAAGGGAAAACAGCAAGGAAAAATTGTGATATAGACTCATGAAAAATAGAATCTACTCTTGTGAAAATTATCCCGGGTAAAAATTCGAAAATTTGGTCGGCAGAAATGCGTTGGAGAGATGGGAATCGACGGTCAATGTTGGTTAACAGTGGTTGAGGCAATGAAGCTCAAGTACTGACAAATCGACAACATGCAACAGCGAAAACAGAAGATACCTCCCCCTCCAAGTCGAGGTTGGACGTTGTCCTTTATTTGTTAGTACATTCAAGCAGGCGTACAGAGCAATTCAGATAAAAAAATGAATGTGGAAAATGAACTTGCAGAGACCTACAAAAGTGAGATTATAGTGGTAGGCTAAACTAGCATCATACGTCCGTTTAGCGCTAAGCGGGAGCATCATCCCGCGGCGTCTCTTTGAAGTCGGTGAATGCCGGTGTAACCAAGGGCATCCTTTTTGATGTCAAAAAACACCTGGCTATTTATGGACTCCTATTTAGACCGTCAGATCGTCTGCTTGATAACCCTGCGTCCTTGACAGTTTTTGAGAGTTGCTGTTGATAAAGTGTGTTCTCGGGGGATGTTCTTCCAAAATATGACTTCCTGGGACGACTTCGGAGCCTTATCTGTAAATAAGTCCTCATCACAAAAGTAAATAGTTTTCCAGAATGAAATTCTGTCATAATATCACTTTTGACCAACCTAAAACGTTCTCTAGTCATTTTTAAACTTTCGTTGCATTTTGTTGATGGAGGCCGACATCTCTCATCGTTTTCCTAATTGTCCACAGAGACAACATTGGCAGTTGTCCCCTGTGAACAGCCTTCAGGGGGCATGTAATGGTACCGTGGAGCCTAGGGTACCGAGCATTTAAGGTAACGAGCAAGCCACTGGCAGAAATCTTGTTTTGACTTACGACCTCCGTTCGGTTAGCGAGTTGTCAGCGCGTGTGTATGTGTGTTGTGCCTGTGCCCACCGTCGAGTCTTGTTCCCAGCGCGTGGGTACTCAATCACCTGCAACCAATTAGTGACTTGATGCAGTTTGCTTGGCATCGTTTCACAAGACAAATGTTTCAAGTGACGAACTCGAGGCTGGAACGGATTAAACTCGTTAACGGAGGTTTCACTCTATTGTTTAATGCATGACGAATAATGTTGTCATCCTGCTTACTTGTTTGTCCTTGTTTCATTGCAAGCTATTCTTAAATAATTATCGAGTGTGTTATGGCTAATATTGAAAATATTATCTAACGACTCCTACGGCAGCCCTTGCGACTGCCAATTTTACCTATGTGTTTAAAATGAACTGCTGACAGGAAGTGCTCTGACATTTTAATTGCACGGCGTGATCCAGAAAAGCGAGCGCATGTCGTGGGTACTCTCCGGGTGGTAAAACAAAACAGGACTGTCTAAGAATTTCATTACTTTTTGTGGCAAAAAACATCACATTTTGCAAGATATACTTTTTTAAGCTGCCTCAGCTTCGTGTTTCTGGAACACAATGCGATTTTGCGTAGCTGCCTCCAACTGCTTTTAATGCGCAAGAGGTTAGCTTCACCGGTTCTAGAAATTTGAAGCCCTTTCTGCTTATATGAATACTTTTTTCTACCACGATACACACGAACAATATGTTTTGGTCTGGGACATGGACTAGCACAAAAATTACTTGGATTTATCGAAACTTTCTACTTCCCTCAAATCCGTTCTGTTTTACTTTAATAAAACAGACTTGAAATACCTTATTTATTTCTTCATTAAAAATCTTTTTCGAGCCTGAAGTTAATTTAAAAAAGCAGATATTTTAACAGCAAATAAATTCCGAAAATTTTGATTACGCCCTTCCATGCATTATATTGAAGGTGTTTGTCACGACTGCCGTCCTAAGTCTCTGAATACCCTTTTGCCGCGCAGATATCGTAATGCTTTTGCGACTCCTTTTCTGAAAGGAGGGCCGTACACTAATGCGTATAATCATTGTGACTCGCACCTGGTACTTGTAATTAACGCGAACTGCGGGCTTGCCCGACTGTTGTTTCCCAAGCCAGTACAGAAGAGGGGGCAATCGGCCACGAGCAAAGTGTATTCAGAAGCAGCGTCATTCTCGCAGAAAGACTGCATATATTTATTGATCCGCTTGATGAGAAGGTGTCGGGGACGTGGACCAATCACATCTGACGAGAGGTCGATAGCCGCAGGCCAGGGGCGCGCTCTAACGGTAGGCAGTGTGGCAGCTCACGCAGGCGCCTTTCTATACTCGGACTCATAATGACAATGGAGACATTCCCAATACGTACCAAATACGGATGAATATCTACCTCTAATGTGAGAGCGGTGATTGAATGGTTCAACAGAGAGAGAGAGAGAGAGAGAGAGAGAGAGAGAGAGAGAGAGAGAGAGAGAGAGGCTACTTAAGCCATATCATAAAATAGACACCGACACTGGTGGAGACATTGACTGCATTCTTTCCGTACACCGCTAAATTAAAAGGAGACTTTATTGGGGCCGCAGCATGAATTCTCAAATACGTTCACAGACTGTTCTGCATGCTAAGTTCACCAGTCAGCGCCAACATTCCTAAAAAAGATTATTGTATTATGCTCTTATCTCAGCATTTCGCTTAGAGGACATGCTGTACAATATTGGAAAACAAGCGCAGGCAATCTATAGGGCATATCATTTTTTGTCACCGTTTGCAGACTGTCTTATACAGTTCGAGGAATTTACCGTGTACTCATCAACAGAACAAGCGACTAGCAGTCTAAATTTTTGTTTCTGCATCAACCACTCTAATCATAGATTCGAACATAGATTCCGGTGATGTCCACTGTATGCTCCACCACAGGCTAGAAGCGAGCACGGTGACTTGCGCTTGGATTAATTTTAAGTGGCAGTAGACTTGCACAGCATCTACCGCCCTATGTCATTCCTCATCCGCCAGTGCGCGGTGTAAAAACAGCGTCAAAATAACCGGAGGTAGGCTCGGGTGCAGGTAGCTGACAGGGCCGTGTGCCACTGCGTCCCCTCCCCCCGATATTAGGCATTTATTATCGGCGCGCAAACCGAGTAACGCCTACTTTACTCCGATCCTGCCCCGTGTTAGCCCAGCGCATTTACCACGCGGCCCGTTTAGGGAGCCCCACCACCGTTAAGTACGGACAGACTGTCTTACACATTTCGCGGATTTTAGCACGCACTCATCAACCGAACAGCCGACTAACAGCCTACCTTTTTTCTTTCTCCATCAGCCATCCTACCGAGACAATCATGCTCACTGCCCTCTCAATCCTGCACAAGATGATGCTCTACCTGCCCGAGCAGTCGCGAGCAGAAGTGCGCAGCTGTGGTGGTCCCATTCAGTTGACCGCTCTCTTCTCCCCAGACTACATTCCTGACCCCACTTGGCTTATCGTGTGTTGTGACGCCATCCGTATGACGGCCTATGAGGATGAGGAGACCAAGGTTAGTGTTCCTTTTGGGCCGTTACGGCTTCTGGCTTCTCATTCCCCGATTTTTATGATATTTCCTTTTTCGTTTTTCAGTTTCTTCTTTGGCTCTTCCACAATCATCATAACAATCACTAACACCACCACCACCACCACCACCACCACCACCACCACCCCCACCACCCCCACC